TTTTGTTTGTTTGTTTTTGAGAACTGTTCTGTGCTGTAAGCGGACTTTGAATCAGTTTGTGGGTTGTATAGATCAGTTGCTCCAGCTTGTCAGATTTTTATTCTTGTCTCATTCTTTTCTCCTCACCCCCAGTCAGGAAGGCATAAAAAACCTAAAGCGTTTAAGCATTTTCAATAGCTATATTAGACTGGATTATGAACCAGCACTACAGAGAACCTGAACTGCTATTAAAATATTTGAAAAGTACTTAAAAGGTACAAATACTTTAATAGTAATTCGCTACAGTTTAATACCTGTGGATAAGGGAATACTGCATTGTTTGTCTTTCCTAGCAAAACATGGCCTGTGAGAATTGTTTTGTGAAAGAAATTGTACCTTTGGCTTCAGCAACTGTTCATTACAAAGTTGTTTGCTTTGGTTTGGGTTTTTTTTTTCTCTCCTTGTGTGTTGGTTACCTCAACCAAAGCATAAAAAGCTGTAGTGTCAATAATGCAGCCCAGTCAGTCCAGCAGTGTTTAAACACTTGCCTGTCTCTGTGGGCAGCAGTCTGAAGTGCTCAGCAACAGTACTTCCATACAGCTTTTTGGTATCTTCTTTGCATAAGTTATTTTGGTGCTACTGTTGATGTTTCCGAATATTCGAGGGGAATTTCTGTTAAGTTTTACAGTGTGTTTGAGCTGTTTGTATTGCAGCTGTTGGATCTTCCAAAAAAATTGTGGGCAGTTGAGCAGCTGATAAATACTCCATTCTGAGGGCAGAGATAGCAGGTACTCTTGGCATCTCTTTGCTTTTCAAAGAAACAAAGTGTCACAGAACTTCTCAGTGTGACTCTCTCAGGCGTAGGAAGCCAAATGCCAAGTTAACCTGAGTAAATAGGCACAAAAGCAGCGGAGATAAACTTTGGCACTTAGGGAGTTGGACCAGGAAAATGGAATCTTAGGCAATAGATAAACACTGGGCACCAAATAAAAAAAAATTCACATGCACCCAAGCTTTTGGTTGTTCAAATGGAAATCCAGTGCATTCTTTGTGAGGAAGCAAGAGCTGTTTGTGAAGGGGTGCTCTGTTCTAACAACGGGTTACCTCCTCTTTCTTTTTTTGCTGTGCTTTTCTTTCCCACGTTGCCTCTGTGTTCCACGGGGTTTGGATTTGGATATCCTCTGTAACAGTATTTGTAGCATCTGTGTACAAAATGTAAAATGCAAGAATCCTGGACTACAGTAAGTAGGGACTTGAACCTAAAATTGACAGAAGGAACTGCAGCATAAAATCTGACATGTTTGAAGGTGTATTTATTTAGGATGGATTTGCTTTTTTTTGACTGCTGTGGCTTGGTAACCTGTTGTGCTACATCCAGTACAAATGTGAGATATGTGTGAGGGCCTTACATCAGAAACTGAAAAACACTATGTAATGTGTTTAAAGTGTTTTGAGAAAGGAAGTTATAGCTCTAATCCTAAAGAGTTCTTTGTTGAATTTTTTTTTTTTTAGTATGTAAACTAGTGCAGTTGTCAGTGTATAGATAATGTAACTCCTGTTCCTGTTTCCCAGCATTGCTTTATTTGCATGATTTTCCTCTTATAATTGCATGCTCAGATCAGCCAGTGGTTATTTTAATATATAATAAAGATGATAAAATGATCCTTGGCAACATGTGACAAACTTGTGAAATAAGCAGATGATAAAAAGTTGCATTTTTATTTTGTGGATAACAGAACTTAGAGCTGCATATTGCGGTCTTGTTCTAACATGTTTCTTATTTCATATTTCTATATTGGATTAATAATGTCTTGGTTCTCTGTCTGCCATCACTGAGCTACTGATTCTTGGAGAGAGAGTAGTAGATTCAAATGTTTTTGAGCAATTGTGTTGGTGGAGTTGTTTTGTAATAATTTTATACATGGTGTTATCAGGTACTGTTGTCAAGTCATGGATGCTACTGTGTCAAGTCAAAAGTAGTCATTGCAGGGGGAGAAGGGAAGCTTCATTAGGAAAGAATTGCTCTTTATTTAATTCTGTGCCTTTTATTTGATCTGTCCTATAAAAGCTGATATGCTGAATGTGGTTAAACATCTATTAAAGTTTAGCTAAAAGGAACTGTTAATAATACATTAAGCACTTCTAGATGTACTACCATATTGCTATGTAATAATTCAGTTTTTCAGTTTTAACCATTCTTCAGTTTTTGCACACCATTGTCATTCTGGTGCAGTGGTGAAACAAGCTGTGGTTTTGGAGGCTGGGTAGGACTGTTATCAGCTGGCTGGAATTCCCTGCTTGATGCAGGCCACAAATTCATATATCATTTGTGATAATTTGCTTGCAAGGATGGGCTTGCACCTGCAATCCACTTAAATCAGTGGTGCATGTATCACATCTCCTGATGCAGATAATGATTGCCTCTAAAACTCGTCTTTTCTAGGTGATTCTTTTAACATAAAATGTACTCTAAAATATAAACAAGTACTGAAAATGAGTTAGATTAAATTGCGTTTTCAGAATTAGAAGTTACTAATTAATTTGTTCTGCTATTCTGTGCAGTACAACCTAAGTAGATTTCAGAGACCTGACTTGAGCTTGTATGTAGTAACTTTCCTAGAGATACAAACTTGCTTCAGATGCGAAAATAACCTTTTTTTCCTTCCTCCCTGCAACAGGAATGATGAACGCGGTGGTGGCTAGAGGGAGACGTTTATCTTGCAGTTCATTCTAAGGATCATTAGATCTGGGGATCTGGCAGGGCTATGTTGGAAACAAGATCTATATCCTATGCAGTTCTGACTGAGAATACCCTTGTTAAACCTGACAGCAATGTCTCCTGTTCATCTGAGGCACTTATCTGATCACACGTCAATGAACCTACTTTCCCATTCTTAGGGAAGTAAAAAAAGGATTATATATGCTTCTTAGACTCTTGTTTTAACTCATTAAGGTTCTAGCAGTGTTAATGTGGGACAGAGTAGAGAAGCTACCAACAGTTTGTCATTTATTCTTAGTCAACTCTCTTCATTGTACATGATTTTATTTTGTTGAACTTTTTGCAGTTGTTTTTCAACTGCTCTTAACCCCTCTGGAGCTGATGTTTTGTTAGTGATGCTGGAACTTCAGAGAAGACCCACCCAGCAGAGGAAGAGTGGAGAAGTTACCTTGAAGCAATGAATTTCACACCAATGGATTTGTTTCTACAAATGGCTTATTACCAATTGGTATTGATGATCTGTGAGCTGACAGCTCAGGAAGGCCCTACTGTAGCCAAAACAAAGAGCACAGGAGGATTTGTGGTGATGGCACAGTGCAGATTAGCCCAGATGATGCAATACTGATGTGAAGGGTACATGGACATAGGATTTGTTGTACCAGATATGGTGACAGGTTCAGTTATTTGTTTGTTTCTGAACATTACAAGTTCCTTACACTTCCTAAGAAGGTGAAAGCATCCCCTCACACTGCACTCATTCCCTTCATAGGATGCCGTATGGGAGAGGGGTGTTTGATTTCTACATCTGTAGTTCCTGACCTTTTTCTTACTATTATGAGTGTTCCTGCCTCCACACTGCTCTTTTTGCTTTGTTTTGTCCCCTTCTCATGCATCCTCAGTTACTGTATTGCTTCCTTTTCCCCTACAGCCCATCACATTCCTTCTTACAGGTATTGGCTCTGTTCCCTTGCCTGGCTCAAGGGGCCATCTCTTCATTCTTCTTGCACTCTCCTAAAGAACCTAAACTAATGGACTAGGTTGGATCTAGTTGTCCAATTTGGCCCTGCATGGAACAAGCAAAGGTTGACAGAATTTTGTAGTCAGATCCCATGCTTGTTAGCATTTCCCATGCTATGTGTGAAGCAGCTGATTTAGAATTAGTCCAGTTGATAACCATTATATTCTATATTGGGAGTGTGTACAGATGTTATTATGAGCGTTACCTGCACAGCTAATTAATGAAATATCCTCAGTGTTTGTTATTTTTCTCATAAAGGCCATGGTAGAGAAGAATTGGAGTTAATATTTTCAGAGCTAGACTCACGATTTTTCAAATGCAGAAGAGCCAAGAGCCAGAGAATCTGGGCTACCAGAATGTGTGTTGTACATTGTCCCACCCTACTGACCATGAAAGCTCTACACCTGACATAAAGCTGCTATCTAGTGCCAATATACAGGAACAGACTCCTGGATTGGAATTCTCTTTGACAACTCAGACCTGTGCACATGAAAGTGGTGCATCAGAATGTTTCTCATCGCTCAGCCACAAGACAAAAGAACAGTGGCAATATTTATTGTGTCATTAGTGTGTGAAGAGTGAAGACTCATTGTAGAGTTTTCGCAATAGAACTTCAGAGCTAAGGTGAGAATTTGCACAGAGTTTGCACCTGTGTAAAGGGGACGTGCAGCTGTAATGCAGAGTTGCAAAGGTAAGTCTCAGTAATGTACTGGCTTGATTTTAGGTGTGGAGACCATCACGAGTAGACTTCTGTCTGCCTAAATCCTGAACATTTATAGGTGGGGCGTGTTCCACCTACCCGTCATGCGTTTCTGTTTTCATGCCTTGCATCCCACGAATCAGCTCTGTAAAGGATCAGCTTTAAGACCTGTTAAATATTTTTGTAGCCCTCATTAAATCTCAGACCAGCAAAATTTCATGAGTGTATTTCTTATGGGAGTTAAGCACCTGCAATACCTCCATGTAAGATTTTGCAGGTTTGGGGTTGGAATAGTTATTAACATACTATTTACAAGAATTAACTGTACTTGTTTTGTGTTTTTCATCTGTGCACATTTTCATAGCAAATACATGCTTTTTGGTAATGTGCTCAGGGGAAAACTAATGTATTATGGTTACCTTATTAGAGAAATGCTTTTCTCCATTTGCCTGACACTCTGCTAACTCTTATCAAAGCAAGACCCTGATGTTTGGAGTATTTGTGGTTTGTTAACTTGAATTAACGTGCATGTGGTTTGAGGATTGCATGATTTAAAATTTTAAAAATAGATCCCAAACCTCACATCAGTTTAAGTATCTGAATATTTTTAATTGGAAGTTTTAATTAAAAAATAAAAAGTGCTACAACACGTAACAAGGAACACACTAACTTTTCCAGGTCTGGGGGACTTGAGGGAGCACATCATGTGAATTATATCAATTAAAAAGAAGCTTACATCAAGCAGCATGAAAAAAAATTATGAGACATGCTAAATGCTACAGAGAAAACTTACTCTTCATAGTAGTGAGTCCCTCTTGGAAGAGCAGTGCACAAAGCTTGTGCATAGGTACATTCTCCTTCTTTGCTGCTTGCCCAGAGCAGAAGCTGGAGAAGCATTATTAGCAATATGTCAGTATGTTGGAGTTAGGGCTCAGCACTCACAATGAGCATTTAATGAACTACTTTGATGCTTCAAGGATCCACATTGCCAGAAGGATCACGTATTCATGGATACATGTGCTGCACAGCTGTTACCGAGAGCTGCACTGACCTCCACAATCCTGAGTTTGCTGCTTTCTGAACAGTTACATGTCCTGCTGCTTCAAACTATCACCTGCCCTTTTAAGAAATTTTCCTCAGTTTTCCAGACTCCTCGTCTTGTGAGTAAAGGCTTTTATTTCATCCTTTCACAAGATTTCCAAATGACAGATCATTGCTGCTTTTTGGTGTGTGGTTGCTATACTTGTGAGCACTGTTAGGGTGCTGTAGAGGGTTCATATGGCCTCCTTAAAGACAGGCTCCAGTTCACACATTTTAAAAGAAGCTGCCCAACCACTTTGTACTGGCCAAATTCATCCTTTTTCCCACACTAGTATTCTTTGTATTGCTGTGCCACCTAAGACACAAAGTCACAGGGAGGATCACAAGGATGGTGTACACAGATCCAATCCTTTTTGATACAGGGATACCATGCCTTCTATGGTAGTTCTTTTAATTTACCATGTATGACCTGCTGGCTTGTTCTGAGAAATACATAACAGCTTCTACAGGAGGACAGTTGCCATCTTGAACTGTTTTATGCTCATTTCATTTCACTTCACGTACTAGTACACCAGAAAGTAACTTTTTTCCTTTCCAATGCCTAATAGCGATCAATTTAAACTTTCTCATCTCTTCTGTAATCATTAACTGTTATAATTTGAACTGTGTGGTTCATTTCTATTTAGATTCTTATTTTCAGGCAGGCTCCCTGGACTGTAGCTCTGCAGAACAAAGATTGCACATAATAGCTCTGTGTAAGTTGAAACTTTGTTCTTTTATTTTTCCTCTCTGTGAACTCAGAGATGCCTGATTAGCAGAAGTAGCGACAGCAATAAAAAAGTCAACTTGCAGTCAGCTTTAGAGAAAAGTGTGTACATATTGCCTACTTTTGAGATATCTGAAATATAGGATATATTGATGACTATCTTGTTTGCATACAAATGCAAACAGTGATTAATGACTACTAAGTAATCATTAATCACTGTGTTATCCTAGGCCCTGAGAGAACACACCAGGGTATCAATATTCTTGTTCCAGTTAGTATTTCTACTAGCAGCAGCTAGTAATGCTTGTCAATGACCATGTCAGAAAATAACTTTCATCCACAGAGAGGAACTGTGCAGATGTTTACCCTCCCCACAAAATCACCAGTCTGGCCCAAAAAGTGGAATAGAAGAGTTTGCAACATGGGATATCCTCATCATCATTAAATAAGATCCCCTACATGGCCTCTGTTGAAAAGAACATTCCTTAGTTTAGTTCTAAACACACTTGAATTTCATTTATTTTGAGAGGCCCTTTGAGAACAGACTGTAAAATTCATGTTCATGTCTTTATTGATATTTTAAAGAGAACTAGTCAGTCTTTTTGTTATGAGACAATTTCTGGAGGCAGGAAAGAAAGCAGTTGCTGTGCTAATTTCAGTAAACTGACATTTCAAATTCTGCCAGGTTCCTTGGTTAAAAAGTGTTTTATTGCATTAATTAAATGGCTTGTTGGAGATGCCACACTGCTGGATACCACTTTAGGTAACAACTAATAAATAATGAAGTGAAAGAAGGAAAGCAATGGAGGAGGGGAAATTTCCTGAAAAGGAAGGAGGAAGAAACACTGTTTATACACTGTTGGGGAAGAAAGTAGGGCTTTTCTTTTGTAAATATCTGCTTATAATCCATTTCCAAAACCAGCAATAAAGAGAATGAAAGAAGCTCTTTTTTCAGGTTCCAAGTAATAAGGAGAACAAACTGGTGGTCTAAGTTGTAGGCTGGGACTTCCATTTTTCTTCATTAGTATTGGGGTTTTCTACTATGTGCCAGACAGTGCTAAATTAACATATCTTCTCTTACCTAGGAGGATTAAAAATTATAGCCATGGAATTGAAATATGCAAAAGTAGCATGTGGGCTTGCTTTTTCTCTGTAACTCCCCTGAAAGAATACAGATTGATTCATTGTAATTTCTTCTTTGCTTGAAGAGAGCGTGCTCCAACCAGCTCCATTTAATCTTTAAACTTCATTGTGGGTCCTTCAACAGGGGACACAAGTCTTTAAACTACAATTTCCTCAAAATATTGTGTTAGGGAAGGATTTAAGTAGCTACCTCTTGATTACTATAGGGTAGGGTGAAATTGGTTTAGAAAGAATACTTTTGCAGAACAGAACTAATTTTACCTGGAGTGCAGATGTTACCACTCCTGTACTTCCGTGGAGGGAGAAATAATCCTCAGGCACAATGGGAAGGAAGCACAACTTCAGTATCTTAGCCTGAAGTGTGACCAAGAGAAATGAAGTGCAGTGAAAGCCCTAAGTGCAATCAAAGGCCGGTGGTCTTGAGCACAGTTGGAATAGGCAGGTTGTTCTCAGAGAACTGTATCTACCTCATTTAATACATGGACCAGCCAATCCATTTACCTCCTGCTTTGTAACTTTTGTGGTGTTACAATCTCAACATTAGAGCAGCTGCTAGTTCCTCACGTGTTTTGACTTCTTCCTAGTATTGAGGCTTTTTTTGTGGTAATTGCTGTGAAACCTTTGTGGTGTTACCGACTAATGTACTACAGCAAAGAGCTGGATTTGGAATAGAGTTTGAACCCAGGTGGTTTCTGCAGCAGAGCTCAGCACTAAGCATTGGTGATAGCAAATACACATCTGAAAAGGAAATTGTCCCAAGATAAATCATGTTTGTTTCTGTTCAGCAAAGGGATAATATTGTCTTCTAGAAAGCAACCTGTTATATTGGCATAATTGCAGTCTGATGTTAAATCAGTCTGAGCTCTTTTAAATACGTTTATTTGATATTCTTGTTTAGTATTATGCCACTTGTAAAGCTTAAAGAAATTGCTGCCTTTTAGTGGTCACTTATAAAGAAAACTACATCCCAGTAATGAATGCATTATGTAAGCAGTTTACGCATATTAATGTCAGACTCTGACCTGAAGTATGGAAACACTCATCCACATCTTTAGTTTTGCCTTGTAAAATGATTCTCTGGGTGGAATCAGGCTCAAGTTAAGAACTGACTTGTAACCTATGCGTGATGCACTAAATAATTTTGTATTATAAGGCTGTGCACTTTTTGAAAAAAGTGGTCATGTCCTGAGTTTCCTGTCTAAGCATATGAAAGGAGAAGGGATGGCAAGTCTGCTTTCATCACTTCAGCTAGGAGCATGTTGAGTGGAAACACATGAACTAACTACACCTTTCGCTGCAGTGTTACTAAAGGGCAAAGTCCAGCGCTGTAACTTCTGAAGCAGAAATTATTTGCACCCAGTTCGAAGAATATCTGATACTTGTTTTCCCAAATGGGCCTTCCAGGGCTTCACCAGGCTATTCATGTTTACAAGGAGTTTGCCAGTCCTAGAGTCCTCCTGGCCTGCTATAAGGTAGTCAGTACCTAATTTAAAAGAAAAAAAAGCAGATGGTCTGATGTTCATAAGGAATTGTCACCACTGTTTACAGGGGGAAAAAAAGCACCTGGTGAGCATTTTATCCTTACCAGGATTGAGAATGGGACATGTGCAGCCCCTGTTGGTCCAGGATTCTGGGTAAATGCTTCTGTTGCTCCGAGCAATTTTCACTTTGCCGGATTTCAGGACCTTCTTCACTTTCACAACAACTTCTGCATGGGTCCCTTTGTCATGAGCAGAGAGGATTCTTGCTTTTATCACTGTCCAGAGGGAGATCAACAATGACTTAAATTTTGGTTTATTCTGCTAAAAGTTAGAATTTTAACACCTTAAAAGAAGACATGGGAAAAAAAACCAACCCAAAACTGCAGTTGTACCACATTTCTGAGTTGTACCACATTTCACTTGGGGTTCTTATAGATAAATTTGGAGAAGGAAAACTAGATTTTTCTTTTGAAGTAGATAACTAATCTTTTCACCGTGTTATTTAGAAACTATTTTTAATGGGCTGATGTCAAACACTTGGAAATCATAGGAAAGCACTTGTATATATACATAAGGAAGGGTGAAAAACCCAGGTCAGCAGCTGGGTCTGGTTTTAAGTGCACTGATTATATTTTCCAGTTTGAAAACTTGTTGAGCTTTAACATTGGCCTCTCAAAAATTTTGTCCTGTGAGAAGGGACTGCCTACTCTCCAGGAAGGAAGTCAGGAAGTTTCCCATCAGACTGCAGGCATGTCACATGGCTAAAATTCCATGATTGCACAACAAACCAGAAAAGGCATTTTTGTTTTGTGGTCCAACATCTGGTTGCCGTGACAAATTTCTGTTCCTTTTAATTTAATAGGATCCCATGAATTTTTGGCAGGGCAGCCCCATCTAGATCAGCCCCACAATCATACTTTGTTGTGTCATGGCACAAGCACATAACACCTTTGGATCCCAGAGCTTTCCTTTCTTGCTTCTTGTGATGGCATGAACCAGGTGCTCATAAACAACAGTATTAAGTACATTCTTGGTAAATGAGCATGGCCATTTGAAGCTGCATAATGAGTGCAAAAACAATGGCAGTTTAGATGTGAGATTTTTATCATCTGTTCTTGATGTAGAGGACAATTGTTCCACTGAGCACCTCTCCTGCCTTGGAGGGAAGCTGACAGCTGGGAAGGAGACACCATGGAGCCTTGCATGAAAAATGCTTTTCAGTTCTGATCAGAAGTTGGACACCTCACTAGATGAAAAAGGCAGAAGAAATCCTACCTCTCATATCATGACTTAACCAATCCTGTTGTTTTTCATAACTGTTGGCTAACAACATGCACAGAGAGAACATTGTGAAATTATCATACCTTGAGGGCATGTTACCCACTTACCATAGGCATATTTCATTTGGCAGAAGTCAGCGACGCTCCCAAGCACCTTTTCTTTGCACACACACTTTTCTAGTGGGGAAACACCAGAACACAAAAGGTTGGAGAAAAGCCAAGAGAGAGAGAAAAGAAGAGCAAATGATCCTCAGTTATAAAGTTAGATGTCTATAGCTCCCATAATCTGTATGGACCTTAAGAGAAAGTTTGAGAGTGAGATCAGTTATTTGCAAATGTGTTTCTTGTTATATGATACAATAATTATTCTGAAATCTTATCAGTACTGTCAGGTAAAATGCAGATGCATGAGGTCTATCATAAAGTTAATAAACTGATCCTGATGAAGAGATTTGTAAGAATCAGATCCAGATGTAAATCATGTAAGCAATGATACCTTTGTCTGATCCCATGACCTAAGAAATGCTCATCCTTTCTATATTAAAGCAATATCTGTCTCAGAAGAGTCAAGCCATGCAGTAGGTGCTGTTACCTCTGGGTCTTACCAAGCTGCTGCTGATGGTAAATGTTGATCTTTATAGGGCAGGCAAAACTGAGAACTATTCAAGTATTAATGGTGCCACCTCATTCCTACTTTGTAACATGAGCTGGATACAGTCTGCTTTACTTTCTCTCCCGAGCTGCTGTGCCATGAGGAATATCTTACTCTTAAATTAAATGACTTGTGTTCCACCCTAGAGATGGTGCATTTCAGTGGTGGCTGACACGAGCTTTTTACAAAGAGCATTTGAAATTCTGAACAGGAACCAAATGCTTGAGAAGCAGCTGTGTAAAATCCCAAGCATTATGACTATAATTGTGACAACAAAAGGAGAGTATTTTTTCCACACAATCTTAGTCATGCCTTACTGGTTTCTAAAACCAAACTCGGATCCTACAGTTAGTTTGGAAAATAACGATGCAAGTGTGATGATAGCCTACAAACTCAGATTAGTGTGGGTTGCCAGCAGATGGGGGACAGACAAGCTGGAGATGAGTGGGTGGGTTTGAGTCAGGATGGAGAAAGAACTGGCACTGAGTGAAGTCAGTAAATGTTCCCAGACTCTGGGCTGTACCTGGGTGCCTCAGTGCAGAAAATCCCTGCTCGTGGTCGTTCCATTTCCACTCTTCTTCGCTCTCGTTGGTTGGTGTTTGGACAAGGTCAGGGATTCGTCCCCCAATGGGGATGTTAAAGAATGGCTCACTGTCATAGCTGGGGGACACATAAAACAGAAGAATTGGTTAGGACATGACATGGGTGGGAAGCAGGTGTTTGCAGCACATGGCTGTATCCAGACAGATGAGCTTGCTTTCTTCAGACTGGGAGCACAGATAAGAGCAAGACTTCATGCCAGATAGGGATCACAAGACCTATGCTTTTATTAGGCCTTACTACTGCTGACTTAGCATTTTTTAAAATACCTATAAAGTGTGCCTTTTTTGCCTTTTGTTTGCTTTTAGAGAATTATGTAACTCAAAGTTAGTGACCACTTGATGTCACAAGGATCTGACAACAGCTGTAGGACCCGTAGAACTACAGTAGCTCAACAAATCACAGAATTTCTGTACTAACTAATACCCATCTGGGGTACAGATGCCTGCCCTCTAGAAACAAGACGGAGACTTTGTCATTCATTTTATCCTGGGCACAGATGAGAGGCAAGGTCTTCAGACTCTTCCATCTATTTCCAAGGCAAACAGGTGTATTTACAGATGGTATACATATGGAGTTGTGAAATTGCCTATTATTTACTGAAAGAGTCATGATTTCAAGATTGCTTTGGATAATACACTGGTCTTAAAACTGTGTCAGACACACAATATCATCTAAGAAGCCTTTTATGATTTACAGTCACCTTTTCAAATGATCGTGCACCCTCCAAACAAATACTGCTGCAGTATTTGTTAGTTTTTGCTTCATTTCCCAGAGAACCCCAAGGAGGGTTTCTTTACCTGTTGAAGCAGCGCCCAGTGTGCTGGTCGCAGTCTCTGGCGCAGTCGCAGGGGCGACAGCCGTTTTCTCCGAAGCCCCAGTAGCCCACGAGGCACCTGTCGCAGTTGGGACCCGCCACGCCTGGTTTGCAGTAGCAGAATCCCGTCCGGGGGTGGCACCTCCAGCTGCTGCTGAACGTTGTGTTGGCTGAACCCACGGGCTGGCAGGCACAGGCTGTGGAGACAGGGCAGGAGGTGAGTCACAGCGTGTGCCGTGGGGTCAGCTGGTTAAGTGGCATTTCCGCAAGGCTGATAAACTTGTACCCTCTTCCTTGTGCTCAGTGGTTTTAAGTCAGAACTGGTAAACATTGCATTTCAGCCTACATTTGCAATATTATTTTTGCTTCTTTTTAACTTGTTAAACACAGCAAAACAAGTACAACTGGGAGCATTTATGTGTGAAAGTCACTTCTCTGCTACACAAACCGTGACCATACAGGGTTTTGAAGTGTTACCAGGAAGACTCCCTTATGTGTTTATTTTTAAAGGGGCTTGAAGGTCATTCACTTTTAAAGTGTTTTGCAAAAAAGATTCACTAACATAGACAAGGTAAAAAATTATAGGTATTGCCTACATCATCTTTCCTGTAAACACAGAGATCACAAAACTACCCTGTCCTCTGGGGCAGATGCAGCTTATACAGGTGGTTCAGATGACCTGAAACATATTTTCAATTTCTGCCTCCAAAGATTTCTGCACAAATTTCCTACAGTGCAAGTTTTAAGGGACACATCTCACCCTGCAGTACTGTATGTGTGTAAAGAAGCTGATGAATTTATTTTTTTTTTTTACAAATACATGAGCAGATTTTTTACAGGGAAAGCAAACAGAGAAGACCTCTAAACTTGCTAAACTTATTTTGCATGTAGCTGAAGATGAGCAAAAATGAGGAAAACCTCCCCCAAATCTTTCTAACGCTGTTGCCAGGTTGGCACCAGCCTGGCAACTCAAGATAACTTGGCAGTAAAACAGATAGTTACAACTCCTGTGGGCAACTCTGCCTCCACAGACAATAAATTGTCATTATTCCACACCATTCATACGTTCCAGATGTGGCAGCATCAGGGAGCAATACACAGAGAGTGGTGCAAAGCCAGCACAGTTGACTCCTCTCAATCAAGGCAGAAGCTGAGATGATCAAGCTTAGTGCCAAGAGCTCTGCAGAGGTTAAATACAAGCAATAAACAAACCCACTCATTTCTGGTATTCAAACAAGTTTGATTAAAATGACAACAGAGCTGAACTCCAGGCCTTCATACTTCAGATCTTTTTTGTCTTAACAAAGCAGCATGCCCTGGCTTTTGCTTGTAGCACAGACTGAAAAGGTAATGCATCACTACTTCATCCATCTGGAAGAGGGCAGAAATAAAAGTCTAGTGGCTAAGACCCGCTTTAACAGAGATTTTCAGTTAAATGTTGGACACCCAACTTGTTTACATAGCTTGGATCAGGGGACAGCGTTTTGGATACTTATCTGAACCAAACATGATCTCCAAAGCTTTTGAAGTTTGCCCAACATGGCTTCTGATCAAACTACTTTTCTTCACAATCTCACAGATAAGAGGCCAAATGAACACTCTGATTCCACACATCATTTTCCAAGGGGAAGGGACAAGTATGTGACTATAATGAGTTGAAAGTGTAGCAGGGACAGAATTCACTTTGATCTGCAACCTCATATTTGATACTTAAGAAAATATCTTTTGAAAATTATACAAGAAAGAGGGTGAGCAATTCTGTATTTCTCTTGAGACCTGCTTACCGTACAGTTATTTTTCCCCCCATGCCCTGTGTTCTTTATACAAATAACTTCAATAATATTATTACACTGCTGTAGACATATCTTGGTCTGTTGTTTTCAGGGGACACTGGCACAATAGCCTAAGGACAGAAAGTAAGCGTGCTGTCGTGGGCAGTGTGCTCAGCACAATGAGCTGGTTGGCGGACGGCAGCAGCTCGCCTGTTTGCCACAAAGCAGTCTTGACTTTGGGAGCAAACCCAGGGCTTGTGCTGTCAGTTCTGGAGAGCAGGTGTAACACTGAAGTGCTCATTAGCACTGACAGTTTCAAAGGCAAGTTATGATTTTTTGCCCCTAAACTTGATTATTTTTTTTTTTGCACCGATTGTTGCAGGGCCAACTACATCACCCTAGAAAAAGAGACATTTAGTTTGTCAGTCACTGAAAAAAATGAATGTCATAGATCTGTGGATAAGGAGGGGAAACATACCCTTCTTTTACTGCAGATAGGTCTGAGTCACAAGGATTAAGAGATTGCCAACATCTGGGTTGGCTTGAATTCAGGTTTGTTTTCGCTATAATATCTCTTTATGTAGCATCTACCTGTGGAGTTTTCACCTAAATCATCTTCTATTTCTTGAACTTCTAGGTCTTTATTCCCATCTTATTTCCAGTTTTCAGGTTTCATTGGTTAGAGTCACATAACAGATGGGTAAATCATTTACATCATTAGACTACCTATCCCCAACTGAGACTGGATCCTGATTCAGGAAGATGAGACTGTCTCCCATCCTGTCCCTGAGGGAAAATATTACAACACAGTGACTGACAGCATCGGTGAAAGCTGATGAGGAGGTTGGAAAAAAGGGCCTTTTTTTATTGAGGCTACAGTTCAGAAAACCTAATGTTCCCAGATGAACTGTGGGGCATATTCTCCAGTTAGAAACTGGGACAACTTCTGGTGGATCGGAAAGCTGAATCAATACATGTACAACACTTTCAGATGAGTTATACAAGTGGCTTGCAAACGCTTTACTCAGTCTGTGTTTATTTAGCATTTCAGCTTGGGTGGGTACATTGTCTGGCTTCCAGAGTATTACGGCCAAAATCCCAGTTGTGCATCTAAGGTAACTCCTAAAATAAGAGCCCACATGTCACATGCTGAAAGGGCAGCTGTGGATGACTGGGTTTTATCTGCTTAACAGTACCATGGATTTACAAATAAACCTCACAATTAAAGAAACATAAAAGCAAGTTGCCAAAACCTCACCCTTTTGCATTTTTCAATATTTGACAACACTTTTCCTGCTGATTTTTTCTTCTTTTCTCTTAGGAAACCCTAGTTTTCTCTCCATCTGCCTCTCCGTCTAACAAAACACCAGCCAACGTGACAATGGCCTTGTTTGTCAAAGGCATCATCAATTATGTTAGGGACGGTGTGCAGACAGTTCTGGCTCAGAGTTGGCTGGTTTATTTGGGTTCTCCCCTTGACAGTAGCATAGTGAAAAATTTTATCATTGTACTTAAGAATTGGGTATTGGTCACAAAGCATATCCTCTTGTCTTTTAGACTCACTCCCATACTAAGTTTGTTTTGTCAAAAAGTACTGTAAAAGGGAGGAGACAAGAAATAATGAAAAATGAATAATTCATACAGCAGCCTCCACTCAAGTCCTCAATAAATCTGTCTGCCCTCAGCACAGCTGTCTTCTCCATTTAATTAGACATAGATGTAAAATATAATATTGGTTGTAACAATATGGTCCCAACTTACAGCAAAACAGCAGGTGCTTAAGTAATTCAATGGCCTTTGAGGTATCTTGCCTTAAACTTTGCCTAATAATAATAATGCATAAGATATGAGCAGACACTGGCTATTCGATTAAAAAAACAGGCAAAATTAAAAAAAAAAAAGGCAAAGCCTTTTGAATCTGATATATATATATACATGTGTATCTTCAGAGCATTTTTAGGCAATTTTTAAAGCAAGTCAGGTGTGGGGATTGATTCTGCCAATGTTTTCTTAAATGAAGGAAATAAGATAGACAGCTCTGTGTGTGGTCAGGGCTGATTAAGACAGACTGAACCAAGATGTGATGGGGCCTTTGTGATATTAGAATTAAAAGTTCACTCCCTCTGCTCAGAAGTAAAGGATGAGAAGCAGAGCCTTTCAGACCATGCGTGCGTGCATGTGCATCTGTGCACATTTTAATTTTCACCCCTTCTTCTCCAAGTAAAAAAGCTTGTTTTCCTGGAGACCCTTTTAAATGGGTCTACATGCCTGCATTATTTTTAAGCTAAGCAAAGGGTGAGTACAAAAGATGGTGCCATTTCAGAAGGATCCCTTAAGCCTCAGAATAAGCCACAGGAAAGAGGGAAGGATACAGCAGCTTTGCTAACCATTGGTTAGGAAACGATTAGGCTTCTGAGTCAAAGCTTCCATACAAGTCTATATCCAAACTGCTTAATCCTGTGTTGTCACCCCCAATAATAGGCAGGTGTGTGCCTTGCTCTGGGGCTCTTTTCATGCCTTTTTTTTTTTTTAATGTAGATCTAAGCAGTGTCAAAACAAGGCTCTGCACATGACCCAGCTCTCATTCATCTCAGCTGCTAGGAACAGGAGAAGCAAAGGGATCAGAGGCAGGCCACCTCTACAGACAAAAAGGAATAGCAGATTCACACTTACATATCAAATTTCAACAGATTTTTTTTTCCAAGGGAATGTCTTTGCAGTCTCGCATTGGAAGGTCAGCTAAGGGTGGTTTAAATAGTGCCAGGAGATCCAATTGTTATACAACTTTTTTTTTTTCCCTAGCAGATTAAGAGAGAATGCTATTCATTATTATGACTAATGCTTAAAGACTCTTTCTGGGCCTGGGCAGTGTCCTGTTAACTTTCTGGGAGCCTGAGGGGGATGTCACAGCTGAACCTAGACTTTGCTCTGGATGGCAGAGCGCTCTTCAAGCGTGCTTTCTCAAAGGGATTAGCACAGCATTTCATTCAGCTTTTTCATCAGATTTCCTTTCCCAGCTCAGTATCTACTGTACACAAGGGTCAAGTTTGATCTCCCATTGAGGTTTTTTTTTTCCCTCCGAGTTCAAAATTGGAAGCTGAGCACCAGGTTGGTCTCACTAAAACCATCCATTCAGTCTGCTGTTTGCAGTTTATTACTGCTTTTCAACACTTGCTCAGTGGGTGGGTTTTCCATTTGGTGTTGTTAGTCTGAGTCTGTTTGCATGATTTTCTCAAAGTGGGATGATGCCTTGGAATTGGTACATTTAAATCCTAAAAACATTCCAGTCCAGAAGTAGCAACTCTTCAATTTATAATCAGCAGGCTGAAGTATGAGAAAAATGTACCTGGTGGTCTGATTGTCTAATTTCTTCTGTATTAGCAGTGCTCAAAAACAGTAGCTGTGTTTTTACTGGGTAACCGAAGTTGTTTTTTTAGGGTCACACAACCTGAACAACATAGACCAAACCAGATTAGGTTTACTAGCAATGCAAGTTTTGCAACCTAAGGGATGGAGAAGAGGGTCTCTCTTGCATCCTGCATGAGGCTTTTCAGTTTAATGTCAGCTCTAGGCATTTGGACATGATGATGGTCCTGGAGGTGAAACCTTCCCTCTGTCACACTGAACTTGTTCTAACCAAAACAGCTCTGCCTGTCTCCATTGGTGTTTCTGGTTTTGCTGCCACATAATAACTAAAAAGTAGTGAAACATTCCCTAAAAATTCTCTGTAGAAGTACAGCATAACATGAAGTTCACACTGACACACTGCCTGCAATGCACATGGGGAAGTGTTTGGGGGTCAGGACTTCCATCATACAAAATAATACCCTATTAAGCTAGTTTGTTGAGTCTTATCGTGGGAATTCTCTTTGTCACCTTAAATAAAAGGGAAAAGGCATAGATTAACCGCCTCTCTCCCAGGTTTCTCTAACTGTAGTTATATCTAGGGTACCTTCTATTCCCACAGAGTCACAAGCATCATTCACACAAACAGTCTCTGGAGTGAACTGCAATGCCCTTTCCTTATATCTTGATATGGCAAGCATGCCTTTACACACCTGAGAAAGGTTCTATTGATGTGAATCATGCACAGATAGGGTTGTGCTTAGCTCTGCAATAATGCTGAATCAAAACTATTTAGATGCATCTCAAGCAACAGAAACTCTAGTACAGGCTAGTGATCCAGAGCAGCTCTTAAGTCGAGGAAATAGATATGCTTTAGAGGGCAATTCAGTTCATTTATCTCCGACATCTACCTTAGACTGCAATAAATAATTCCCCAGAGGTCCCCCTGTTTCTCCACTGACAGTACAGTGAGCCTAGAAAAGACATATAACTTTCAGGTGACTAAAGCAGGATGGCAGCTATTTAGGCATGAACATGCAAGTCAGAGTGGAGACGATTGTACTTTGGGGCCTTCTGCTGGCAGCAGCATGTTCCCAGGTGAAAAGAACATTATTGTACTTGACTGGCATGACAGGAATAAAGCTCTTTCAACAAGGTAAATTTCTGAACAGTTTTTCTTTTGCTATGCAGAGTATTGGCAGGGGGTACTGAGAGCCCTGTAACCAGAGCAGACAAAAGAGGCAGAGGTAGAGTCAAGGTCTGATTTCATCCAGGCAGACTGTTCTAGGGTTTCCACACAGATAGGCTGTATTTTCAAACAAAGTTTGTCCCTCTTTGCTGCTCTCCAGTGCTCCTTGACTTTAACAGTTATCTAGTATTACACATGATGCTGGTTACTGCACCATCACCCTGCCGCTCGATACAGGAGTTCATACACAGATTCTTTCAGGTACTAGGAGGTTGAAAGCTAATCTTCTGGCACAACAATTTGTTCTCATTACAATATTTCCCTGTAGCAAATCTGTTCAGAGCAGAAACTGGACTAGAAAGGGGCCACTATAGAACACTGAAGGATACAGGGTGAGTCAGATAAGCTCACCCTCAGCCCTGTGTGCCGTTCACTGTTCTGTGGTGAGCATTGTGAAAGTGAAAAGAAAGGGTTGTGTGGAAGCAGTCTGGGCTGTCACCAAGTTCCAGCAGGAAGAATGCAAAAGAGCAGAAGCATTGGATGTGTTGGGCGCAGAAAGTTTAACCAATATCACAAGCCACACAGTCCGAGGCAGAGGAGTGTTTGTAACCTGAGTGGTAAAGAGGAATCATGTTGAAGAACATTAAAAGGGTGAGGAAAGCTTTAAAAGCTCATGATGTCAGTGGGCATGAGGTTAGATGACAGAGGATGAAGTTCTCTGTGCTAGCAACTGATGTCTGAGCTATGGGGAAGGAAAACTATCCAAAGGGGAAAAAGAAATTATGTATGTTATTGGAAGTAGCAAACTCCCAAATAGATGCCAGATGGAATCAGATGTGTGAAGCCTGGCAGGATATTCAGGAAATGTTTACACTAAGTAAGGGAGATTTGGGCTGTTTTCCAGACTGGCTGGGTGCAAACTACCTTGATCCAGAGGTTGTACACCCTCTGTGTGCAACCTCTAGTGCCTCTGTGCCAGTCACTTCCTAACACATTCTGCTGAAGTGTTAATGATGCAATTAATTTGGGCAGATCACACCATAATACAGCTGTGGAATCCAGAGATAAGTCTAACTGAGCTCTCATGTATTTGTTAACAAGTTAATGGTTCTATGCTTCCTGCATCTCCTATTGTATATATTTATGTGTACTGATGTTACATAATCCAATGGAATTTAGCAATAACTTGCACATAGGCACACACAGTCTTGAGAGGTTCAGAAAAAAAACAACAGGTAAATAAAATACGCATCAAGAAAAGGGGAACCATATTAATTTAAACCCCAACACAAGAATGTACCTTTCCCCAGAAGGCAATGCATTATTATCACAAAAAAAAAAAGTGTGATACCAGGGGGAGAAATAGACACAAAAAAATCAGGATAATAGTCTTTGATCAAAAATCTGTAGGTTAGGAAAAGAATACAAAGAAAAGCTGGTAATACTCATGAGTTACCTCTATGGGAGTTATTGATTCTATAGAAATTATTTGTTTCATTCTTTTAATGATTCTTGCACCATTCGTTTGTCTTTACCACACACAGCATGGTCACTTACGTTTGCAGACCTCTGCAGAGGACATGGGTTTCCCCCTGTCTCGGTAATACCCTGGTTTGCACCTTTGGCACCGATGTCCCTCTGTGTTGTGCTTGCAGTTGTCACAGACTCCCCCACTGCGCTTTCCTGATGCCAACCAAACACTCAGGTCAAAGTGGCAGCTCTCGGCGTGGTTGTGACAGCGACACTCTGGTGGGGACAGGAGAATATCCTTCAAGTTTGTATAACAGGCACAGCAATACTGGTCAAATGGTATCATTTTCCAAACCAATCTGATGGTATCTTAAACCCTGCTAGAACCTCAAATGTGAGGGGCCATAGCTGCATGAAAACTAAATTTCTGGCTTGTAAATTCCACTTCCCAATAGCCCCAGTGGGTCAGCTGCAGAAACACAATGTGCATACTGAAGCTCTCCATCAATGACCAGCAATTTATCCCCAGTGTATGTAATTGCACCATTAGTGTAAATCCACAGAAGTCTTTGTTAGGAAGCTTTGCCTGCTGGCATGGTGAGTGCTCATCCTGAAAGCCTGGATCAGTAACCTCCCTTCCACTTACTTCTGCATTCATTTGAGGCCCCTGTTTTTCCATCTCCTGGCTTCCAAGGCTGATCATTGTACAGGGGAGCACATTTCTCACAGTGGTCTCCTGCTGTGTTGTGCCTGCACACACACTTCCCATGGACCTGTCAGGGAAAAGAGAATACAGTTAAATAGCTACAAGCAAGAACACGGTGGAGTCCCCAACAGCTTCATGAGGAGGTGGGACTTCTCCTGCACAACTCTCACACAGCTGCCTGGCTCTCTTAGGAAACCCACAGAGCCTGGAGCTTAGACATGTAGCATTATCTTTTTTAATTTCATTTTTAATCACGGAAATACTCCATTATATGTCAGATTTTGGAATTGGGTATTCACACCAGAAACCTGATCTTGGAAACTGAGCTACTCCAGGCTTCAAACAGAAAGTTACTATTGAAACTGGTTCTGTGGTCATTTCACATACCAGGAATATAACAGCCAGTTCCACTACACAATGTAATTTGATGCACAAGATTCTGTAGTATTGAGCAACATTCAAGAAGGGCCTTACAGGAGTGTTTTTATGTTGTTGTTTGGGTTTGTTGGGTTGAGTTTTTTGGATAAAGAAACAGGATTCCAATATCTGTTTGCAATGCTTCAGAGAAAGGATTTCCCAGATAAGTTGAGGAAATACCCAGTATAGGGAGTGGGAGAAAGGGAAAGGTGGTACCATACATCATGTTCTACACATCACAAGAGAAGCTACTAATTAGTGGTGTGTATCTCACATGCAAGGAGACACTTGTACTAGAGCAGGAAATGCACAGAAACCAGGGACTAGACCTCCACGGGCTGTTGAGGATGCTGAGCTCTGTAAGCACCAGCACAGCTCTGGCCCTCTGCACATTACACAAAAAAACAGAGGCTGATTTTCATTTTGACTGGGGTGAGAATTGACTCTAATCCTTTAATCTCACAAGTAATCTGAGTTACAGTTTTCCACAGTCTTTCCTGAAAGTCAGACTCTCCCTTTGCAGTATCTGACAGAGCAGGTAGTTTGGGATCAAGAGAGAAGCGTTCAAAAAAAGCAGTTGCGTGAATGTGCTCCCCTGCCCCCAAACTCATGGTGCCTGCAGCAATTTGCTCTCCGCTCCCCTGGTTTCTAATCCTCCCAGAGCAGAAATGTGATGTAGCAAGCAGAGGGATAGGCTGCAGCTGATGCCATCGCCCCTCCATGGCCAGCTGGCAGGTTTGCTGCCTCCTCACGGAACACTGAGCACAGACTTCAGGGTGTGCGTTTGTCTGTCAGAGCTCAGCACCAGCAAACCTCAGGGGGATACAGCATGAAACGACATGCTGCCTCTCCAGACCTTTGCACAGGAAAGTCATCCACTTTCAAAGCACTAAATAGTGTGACAAATTACAGAGACAAAGGCAAAAATACTAATAAGCAACAGTGTTGTGCTTGCCCCTGTTTGGGTTTGGCATTTCAGGCTTAACATTCTCCCCTGTGGACACAGGGACTGCTTTTCAGAAGCCAGAGAACAGAGGAAAGGGCCAGGAGTGAGAAAAGAAAGTGAGCCTGACCCAGAATCATAGATTTTAACATCCCCAAACTTCAGACTCCATCTGGACTTTGCAGTTCATTCCAAAATGGGTCAGAACAAAATCTTGGATCCATTCACTTCTTAGGAAAGTGCTTCTTGAAGTGTATTTCAATGCAAAATCTGTAAGTTGGGCCATTCATTTTTTCTAGAAACATACACAAAAGCTGTACATTCACCACTTTAAAAAAAATACATGAAAAGTGCTGAGATTGTACAGCTGGGAAATGGCATAATTAAACTGTGCAATTTTGTTATAGCCTTGAATGACATGATGAAATATTCATTATTCTACAGGACCCCGCACTTACAGTGCACTGCACAGATGATGTGAACACTCATGAACAGTTATTCAGAAAATAAACAGGAAAATTCAGTGAGAAAGGAAAAGTCTGGTTGTTCTTTGGAAAGTAGATGAGTTAGTTTGCTCATTGCCCACTAGTTTGTTGTGAACTGTAGTTTGTGGCATGTTGTGAGTAGGACAGAGGCATAGAGGAAGCTTCCTGCCTGTGATCCATCCTATGGAACCATTTACCAAATGCATGTGGAAAGAAGACTGACTTAAAAGGGTTGAAAAGCCAAGCAGCCAGCAGACAGGAGAGCCACTGAGCAGGCAAAAGGAAACAGGGGAGCTGGCATGGAACTTCTTTTAGAAAGTGATCTCATAGACAGCATTTACAGGTGAAACAGATAAGGAACAGAGTGCAACATGAGGGGAGAATGAATTACAGAAAGAATTTGGATAGGAGAAGAGAGCAAAGAAAAACAGCTCACACAGAACACACAAGAAAGGGGATCAATGGATATAAGTGGCCACTGCAGAAAACTGGCCAATGCAGAAGAAACTGAGCAGTGGAAGAGACTTGCTACATTTAAGCTTGAGGTGAAATAAGGGTAGGTGAGGTGGCTGCAAATAACAAGACAAAACAATTTGTTCTGTTAGAGAGGAAGAGATAGGAGAGGGAGCCAGAGACTAAAGTCCAGGAAGGAACAAGAATGAAATACAGGAAACTGTCAGATAAAATAGGAAATGGGATATCTGCTTAGGGAAGGGAGAATGTGAGAGTCACACTCAACACCAGCATGAAGAGGCATGTCCCTGACTTGTTATTCACTGCTGAAATAAGGCTGCATTTCTCTCACAGAAGCATATCCAAAAAAAGTAGAAAATTGTGATCTCTACCAAATGCAAGACCTCAGAATGCACTGAATCTCACTGAAACATAAGGATTAGCATTCCAAATTAACAAAATCAGAGGAGTACGGATTCAGGGAGACTACACTGATATTTTTCTATGCCCTAAAAAGCAGGGTCAGAATTATGAGGAAATTATGATCAAGGAGAAGATTGTCAGGAAGCAGCAAGGACCAGTTTCTCTTTCAGTGTTGAAAAGGTACAAGCTGAGGGTTATCACAGCACAGGCTGTGCCCTTACTGAGGGGGCACCATCCCAAGCACAGTGGGCAGAGCAGGGAGCTGGTACCACAGTAGCAACAAGGGGATGGACCAGGGCAATACAGGAGCAGTGAGAGACAGGCCCAGAAAGAAGCTCCCAACGTGGGTTCAAAGTGCATTCAGAGGGCAGAATGAGAGACAAGCTACAGCACATGCCAGGGGCATCCACCATGAGGGAAGGTACCTACAGCATTGACCCAAGGTCCATCCAGGAGCCAGAGGCAGGGACACACAGGCACACCCACAGCATACTCAAACAGAGACTAACAGCCCAGGGCTGAGCTTAAATAGAGCTCCCAGGCCAATGGACAGAGAGCAGGGGTGAGAGTCCCAGGTGGGGCTGGTCAGGGCTGTTAAAGTTCAATTAGTGCCTTCAGGATACTAATACTAATGATACTTGGATTGCCACTGGATTAATGTCATTGGAAGCTTTAGGATATCTGACTGCTAGGAGGCATCTGAGGAAAAAAAGTACTTCAGCTTTCTGGATTAGGAGCTGGAAATCCAGGTGGAGGAAGCTTGAAAGCAAGTTGTGAGCAACAGAGGTTTACACAAGATTCATGCCATCAGTTAGGAAACTAGCCAGCTTTCAGCTAAAGCCTGAGTAGTTTATGACACTGATTTATGTGAATGCATATAAATATATTGGTACAGCAGGAGAAAAATTGAAATCCGGGGGATTTCTGTCTCACATCTCTCATATTTCACTTTATTTCACTGATCCTTAGATACTAAAATATTTAGGCCTGTATGGACTTCTCCCAGAGTGCTCATTGCTACAATAATTGAGCATTTCAGAGATATTATAGAATTTTTATGACACCTCCCTTATCTGCTTCTCCTCATTACTCTGGTAACTCTAGTTGTTTCCAATGCTCTTTCCCATTCATTGAAACATCATTGTATTGAGAGTTCAGTTGCTCTGACAATAGTTTTTTAGACTGTTTTTAAGCTATTGGGGGAACGGATCAGAGAAAAAGATGCAGTGGCAGGCAGACAGGCTGTGTGATCACATAAACCTCCTTATTTCAAAACACCAGTCTGAAGTACCATGTGCATCACCTGTTAAAGTTTGCATTCCCACAGTCCTGCACTCTGAGTGCGTTCAGCCAGGGTTCCTTATGTCACTAATGCAGGCTGTCAGCTTTGAAAGATGAAGACTCCTACTTCCAGTTTTCTAATCAATTTTGGCAAAGGGTAGAAGTTTAGAAGCTGATATACTTGCAGTTAGAGGATATTATTAGTCCAGGAAAGGAACACAGATGTTTTGTTATACTCAGTCACCATCATATTGGCTTTAATGGCCATGTTAAAGCTCTGCTTTTGTGTTTTGATATAGCAGCTAAGTTCTTAGGCTATGGTTTCATGATGCAAAGTTTTTGGGGGCAGTCTCAATTTGAGACATTTCTGCTTTCCTTACTACTTTTTTCTGTACCTGCATCACGCCCTGAGTCATGTGTAAATTGGTGTGTGAAACCAAACCATGTTTAAAAAAAAACTAACCTATGTTTTTTCCCTTGGCACTAGTATTTTTAATCTTGATTAATTCCCTCATCTGCCTCACAGTACAGTCGTGCTGTTACAAGTCTGGTGTTGCTGCCAAAGACTTTGATTTTTTCATCTACCACCTGAGCAGCTTTGAATCGGGACGCAGAGGAGGTTATAGTTTCATGGATTTTAATGCCAGGATGATCAGTTTGAACCTCCTATACTAAGCCATGAATTTCATCCAGTAGTTCTTCCATGAAGCTCTGTAACTTCTGGTTGATTTATAGCAAATAGAGTAGGACCACATCCTGTTTTCACACAACAGGTCCAAGAAATTACATGATTTTTATTCACCTTTGGCTGCACAGAGTTGCTTCACCTAAATTCTGATCCACAGCTGAGAAAGTAAGTGAAAGTTTTCCACCTGTTTGTCCTGCAATTTTTAAATTTTTCTAAACTCTTTGTATAACACCTTTAATAAGGTATATATACAAATAACATATTTCTAAACAGCTTTATATAATATCTGAAGCCTCTTGCTTTCTCTCTGCCCACTTAGTTTCTTTACCCATTATCCTTTGAGTAAATCCAGTTGTGCTCTTTCTCCTGGGCTATTC